CCCACCCACCCGCCCACCTCCGACAGAGCGTGAGTTTGAGTTGGCCACATTCTTCGTGTCCAGCTCCTCCAAGGCCGCTAGCCTTTCGAACAAGCAAAAGCTCAGCCTCTACTCGACCTACCGTGCGGCGCTGGCCACCCGTGATGAGGACGCCAGGCGCGACGCGGCCAACGCTCCCTCCGGCTGGGGCGAGGCCAAGCTCAAGCAGTGCGTTTGCGCCCGGCCCATTGCCGATCCCCGGCCCCCTTGCGGGGCCACTCTCCCGGCCATCACTAACCTTCGCCCGAATGCGCCGCATAGTCATGCGCGCTCTGTGGCCCGGGAGAACTTCCCGACTCGGGCCGACGCCGCCATGGCCTACATCCTCATGGTGAAGGACTATTTCGGCCTGGAGGCCATCCCCGGGACTGGGGGTGTCCCCGCCCACGCCCCTGGTGATGAGAGTGACCCGGAGTTGCTGATGGACTCGCCGTCGGACGAGCGCCTCCGGGCATATACCCCGCCGGGGATCGCCCAACTGCCAGTTGCCGAGGATGCCACCGCTCCGGCGGGTGCCGATGCCGACATCCCGACCGAGGACTTTGCTATGAGCAACTGCGTGAGCCGGCCGGTGACCGATCTCTCGTGCGTACTCGCAGACGCAGACACACACACACACACACAAGCGCACAAGCGCACAAGCGCACAAGCGCACACGCACTGCTGGTGTCTTTTGGTGAGGACATCCTCCCCTCCTCCCTCGCTGGTGTCCTACGGATGCCCGCCCTTTCCCTCGGGCTTCTAACTCCCCTTCGGCTCGGATCCCCCCCCCCCCCCCCCCCGATGCGCACAGGCTTCCCGATGAACTCCCCCTGCACAACACCCTGCGGCTGACGCACTACAGCCACTTGGAGGATCCGCTTCAGGTGCAGCACGTCCTGGCGGCCACGGTGCGCGGGTTCCCCGCCCCGGCAGAGGCCCCCCCCAAGCCGGTCTCCTCGGAGCACCCGCCGCAGGAAGTGGACACGGTCGATGCGTCGGGCCTGACGGCCCTCCACTGGGCCGCAGACCGGGGAATCTCCCGGGTGATCTTTTTCTTGCTCGCGCGCACCGATGCCGATCCCACCATCCGGTCGCTGCAGGATGGGTGGACCCCGCTGCATGGGGCCCTCCTGTGCCGGCATGACGATTGTGCCCGTCTCCTGATCGGCGGCTCGGTCCCGGGGCTGGGCATGGAGTATGACCTGCCCCAGCGCCTGTCCATCTTCTCGCGCATCCAGGCCACCCTGGAGCGCGAGGCCGACACCGTGTTCGACCCGGCCGAGGACTCGCTACTGGAGGCGGTCCGCGAGGCGGTCGATCTGCTGGACTCTCAGGACCCGGCGCGCGCCCTGTGGGCTGGGTATCTCGCCGCGCGCGAGGCCGGCGGGGAGCCCTTCCCGGCGGCGGTGCAGGACCTCGCCGACCAGGTCGTCTCCTCGGCCATCAGCCAGGCCCTCTCGGCTTCCATCAGCTCCCCCCTGTCCCCGAGCCCGGAGGACACCCTGGTGGTCAATGTCCCGGTGCAGGACGAGTCCGACTGGAGCGACCTGTGCGAGGGCAATGCCTGAAGCAATCCCCCTCGCTTTTGCTGCCTCCCCCTCTTGCCGCCCTTGCCGTCCGCCTGCTGCCTGCCTGTCCTGGCCGCCGTTGCGCTCCTTGTCCTTGCCACCTCCTTCCCCCTCTTCCCTTTGCGCTGTCCCAGCCGCAACGTCAGACCTGCCTCGCTTTTCCCCCCTCCTCCCCCTGCCAATCCCATCGGCGAGGGCGGGGCAGGGCATGTGAAAAGACACATGCATGCGCCGAAACAGAGTGTACAGTGTGTTTCTATTTTTTTCTTTCTTCTTGCCTGCCTCCTCCCCCCTCGCGCCCATCTTCACTTCCGGGGGGGGTGGCGGCGCGCCGGCAATCGGGAAGGGGCAGAGGGAGGGGAGGAAATGCGGCCGGGCACTTCTCAGGAGCTACTCGAGGCACCGGAGCGGGGGGTGGAGCAGTCGGCCGGCCCCGGCCCTGGGGGCTGCCGGCTGGGGAGGATTTCCGCCTCGAGGGAACTCAACAGGGTGAAGGCAAACATCTTGTCCACGGCCACCCGAACAAAGGACTGATCGCTCGGGTGCTGGGCGCCTTCCCCCACTCGGCGCGGGCTCGGGGCCAGGATCAGCAACTGCTCCAGCACCACGGCCAGGGCGCCCCACCGCTGCAAGTAGTCCCGGAGCTCATCGCTCGACGGGGTCCCCAACGTGGGCAGGTGATGGTCGATGAACATCTGGTTCCAGCGCAGCGGCTGGGATGGCTGCTCGGCCGAGCTGCCGACATTCGAAGTGACCCAGCAGACGCTGGCCAGGCCGCGCAGAACCAAGTCCGCGCCGTAATTCTTCATCAGGGATAGGATGATGCGCTTGCAGGAGTCCATGTCGGCTGTCGGAGGAGGAGGTGGGGGTGGGGGTGGCGCCGGCTCGAAGACACTCCCCATGATTGGCAGCTGCATGGGCTGCTGATATTGCATGGGCTGCTGCTGCTGCTGCATCGGGTGCATGGGCTGCAGAGGGTGCTGCAGCTGGGGGAACTGCTGGAACTGGGGCTGCTGCAGCTCCGGCACGAACCGAGGCTGCTGAAGGGGCATCTGAAGCTGCATCTGCAGCAGTTGCTGCTGTTGCTGCTGCTGCTGCTGCTGCAAGGAGGGGAGAGCCATGCCACCCAGCGCGGACGAGGCGACCGGCACCATTTGCCCGTTGGAAAGGTAAAACAGCTGCGGAGTCCCGGCCAAGGTCCCGCCGCCGAGGGAATGCTGGTGCTGCGGGGGGATCGCCAGCGGCGCCGACAGCTGCGGCGAGGAGTTGAGTTGCTGCTGAGCAAGGGAGGGCAGGGGCTGGAAGCCGGGCGTCATCGAGCCCCCTCCGTACCCCATGCCGGGGGCATTCAGGCGCGGTGTCGAGTGCGGCAGGAGGACATCGCCGCCGACCACCCGGCGGAGATGGTGATCGTCGGCCGGGCGCTGGAGGAAGGGAGCCATCCGCTGGAAGGGGGTCTCAACGATCGATGGCTGCTGCTGCTGCTGCTGTTGCTGTTGTTGGGGGAGCATCGCAGGGACTGGTTGGGGCTGAACGGTGGCCATCGTCGGAGGAGCAGTCGTGGCGGCGGTGCTGGCGGGGGCGGCGGTGCTGGCCCCGGCGCCGGCAACAGGAGTACCGGCAGTCTTTGTCCTGGATGGCGCAAGGAGTCCACGCAAGATATCTGCCTGCTGGGGAGGCGACACGGCGGCCGCCTCGGCTGGATGCTTGCGAGAGCGGGTGCGCGTGCGTCGAGCCGTGGACGAGGCCCTGGATGCGATGGAGGGCGAAGATGCCACAGCGGGAGTTCCAGCCGAGGACGATGGCCGGGCAGAGGGAGTCTTGGGAGTGGAGGGAGCTTCGCCGGCGGTGGTTGCCGATCCCAGGGGGGCCCTTTGGTCGAAGAGAGCCGGCGAGGCGGAGGCCTGGGTGTTGGCCATGCTGCGCGTGGTACTGTCAGTGATCACCGGCGAGTGGTCGGGCCGGGCAGCCGGCCGGGGCGTGACCGAAGAGGAGTCTGCCACCGGCTCGGGCGAAGGTGTGGCCGACACATCCAGCACCGGCGGCAAGAGAGGCCGCGAGCTTGGGGCCGCCTTCGGGCCCGGGGCACCGGCCACCGGGGGAACTGGCGAGGCTGGACACAGGCTCAGGGTGTGCAGCTCGGAGTCCGACTCGGCCATGCTCTCCTCCTCGGCTGACAGGGGGGCTGGTGATGCGCTGAAGTCCAGCGACTCGTTTGTCATCACGCCAGCCAATGCGGCGGTGAGTACCTCGGCTGTCGGGGCCCAGGGGCAGCGGGGGCGGGGGGGATGCATATGATCTGTGGTTAGTTCCCCCGAACCGGGCGTCAGACCAGGCGCCGAGGTGAAGCCCGTACAGAGGAGCGCCGCATCCTTGGACAGGATGTATGACCCGGGCGAGAGGATGTCAAAGGCAAAGGGAGTCGACCCGGAGACCATGCTTGCCGGGAGTGGCGAGCTCAGCGCCAGGCATTCCTGCAGGTCGTCGATGTAGCACGAGGAAAGGACACACGGGTGGGCAACGCGCGGGTGCGGGCCATCCGAGAAGTGGATCTGGCCGCCGGTCTCCACATGCTTGCCTCCGAGGTCAACTGCGCGGGCAGGGGGTCAGGCAAGGGGAACATCGAGACCGCGCGGGCCGCAGGCATGAGGCGCCCAGCTGGGCAGTGGAGGAGACGGGGGGGAAAAAAAGAAAAAAAAAAAAAACCCTCATGCGGGCAATGCACACCCCACGCACCGAATGACCGAAGGCGACTCGGGGCCACGCTCGGATCGAAGGAGGCCGACAGGCCCTGGAAGGGGGTCGTCAGAGGGGGCGTCGAGGCGGGCATCTCTCCCGGAACATCGGCCCGGGCGTGTGAGACTGGCTCGGTCGGCAGAGACGCGGACGCGGACGGCGCCGGGGCCTCTCTCGAGGGTGCTCCGGTGGGGGATGCGTCGAGGTTGCCCGCGGTGGGAGATTGCCCCGAGGTGCCTTGCGGCTCGGTGGTGGCACTGACAGCGGCGGCCGCGGCCACGATCTTGGGGTCTCGCGGCGACGTCTGCCCACCGGCGCGCCTGGCCGAGTCACGATGGCGCGTTGCCTTTTTGGCCGCCAGCCGAAGCCCCAGGCCCTCGTTGGCGGGGACCGGCTTCGTGTCGCGGAAGAAGCGCTTCTCGTGCCCGGAGAAGGCCTCCTTCGAGCCTATACGGAAGTGGTTCATGATGCCGGGGCTGGGGAGGGGAGGAAGGGGGG